GCACGCCTGATAGACGCAATGAGCGGGGTGTTAGTGGCCCGGCTAAACTGTGGAGGCTTGATACGTCGGCCGTGACGACATTGTCATCGGGATCCTCCGGTGGCGATTGCTCATCCCCCTCGTCATCTTCCAAGAGCAAAAGGAAACGTCCGCAGCGATGGCCCTTAACCCACTTTTCATCACAATTATAACACAATCCTTTGGCATCGCGTTCTTTTTTCTCAGCATAGGTCAGCCGGCGGATATGATGGGTTGGATGGGACTTGTTTTCGGTGACCCCTGTCGGTGTAGGCAGCAGTGGTGTGGCCGTAGGAGTCGTCGGAGCTTTTGCCGGTGTCCACACTGCCTGGCGTGACGGAAACCGCGGCTGTAATGAAGTAGCCCAGGCGGCATGCTTTGCTTCCAACTCTCGAGCCAAGGCAAAGGACATCGAAAGAGAAGTGGGTTTCTGCAAGAGGATCTCGTGCTGGAGATGCGGCTTCAACCCGGCATGGAAAAGAGACTGGAGATTAGATTCATCCACGTCAGTAACATTAACCAAAATCTTTTCAAAAGCCTGCTGGTAGTCAAGAACCGTCCCGGTTTGCTGTACTTTGGACAAGAGGCCGAGATAGTCAACATAATTAAGGGGGTCGAAGCGGAGTTTAAACTTAGTAACAAAGTCCGCCCACGACTCCAAAAGGTGGTTACGTTGTCTCCAACGAAACCAGTCCAAAGCCGGACCTTCTAACATCAAGCACACGGCCGACAAACGGTTCTCCTCGGGCACCGCGTAAAAAACAAAGTACTCGTGTGCCTTAAATAACCAGCCCAATGGATCGGTACCGTCACACTTCGGCATGTCGAGTTTGAGTTTGGTCATCGGGTTTACCTGGCCACGATCATGAGGTTGCCGTAACTCGTGCACAGGCTTCTCGGTCAGTGTCTCCGCGCGTAGGGTCCCCAAATCCAACTGCATCTGTTGCACAGTGTGATGCAATTGCTGGAGTGCCCGACTAAGTTGATCATCTATTTGCTCCTGAAACTCCCGAAGACAAGCAGCGGTGATTGGTGTTGATGAATTCGCGGCCATGAGAACGAATCAATGAGAGCACCAGTGATAAGAACGATCACAACGGGGAAACTCGGAGTGTTCCCTGACTCCCTGTGGTTCGGCTGGAGAACACCACAAGCAGAAGATCGCCACACTTCCGGAGGTTGTGCGCGGCTAGGAGAGAGAGAGAACGAGACAAGAGGTTTAGGGTTTTAAGGGTTTTACGTTTATTGATAATCTTCCAAGGAATGGATACATCTCTTTATATAGGGAAACCCTAATCCTATTTAACTATGTTTTCTATCCTGACGGTTCAAAAAAAGCGACGAAATAAAGAACCGTAAAGAAACCCTCGAAGGAGCTTATAGTTCGCTCACCTAGGAAAATCTACGTACATGTAAATAAATAAATAAATAATGAAGAAGATAATTTAAACGGAGCCCATGTCGTACTCCCGGTGCCACCCCGGTGGACGTCGAACCCTGCTACTTCGACAAGTCCCCGAGTCTTGAACGTGTTGGTCCCCTGGTTCATCCGAATCCGTAACAGTTGAGTTACCCACACGGAATAATTAAGTTGATAATAATAAGATTTGGCAACCAAAACACATCATTTAAATTAGGATTACAGTTCAACAAAGAAAATTAAAAAAAAAACGAGATCGATCGAGCGCAGCACAAGATTAATAATAATAAAGCTTCCTCCAATCAAATGCAACTACATACTACTTGATGTCGTGACGGAGATTAATGACGGAAGCTGCGGGAGGGAGGGTTATGTTCACAGTCGTCACCCCCGCCGCCGACGTAGAAGATACGATGTGTGCGCCGCCATCTGCCGGCGGCGCCGGTTTGCGCCGTCGTCCCCAACGCCTGAAAAGCTTAAAGACAGTCCATGAAAACAAGGCGGCAACAACGAGCGTTGCCACGGCTTCATCATCGCCCATCTTCTGGGGCCCTCCCATTGCCAAAAATATTAAACTGCGACTGGTGTGAATTTGTTTGTTACTTTGTTTATTTATTTATTTATAAACGTACGGCCTCGATCACAACCCGTTCGGATTCCCAACGGCAATGATATCTTTGCTGCCTAGGAAATACTAAACGGCAATGCAATGCTACAACTACTCCGAGGGGAGCTATCCCATTGATGGAGTTCATTGCCTCTTTGCTAAAATAATGTAATAACTATATATATCAGATCTAGTTTTAAAATATTAAATTTTTATTTTTTAATTTCATATCATTTTTCAAATAATATATTTTGAAAAAGAATTTCTATCAAAAATCATAACGTAGTGCTACAAAAATATAAATTTTGGACGGTGGAAGCATATTTGAATAATTTTTTTCTATTTTACTTTACTACATACTCGGTATTAATTTTAAATAAATATCCCTAGAGAAAAGTATAAAAATATTAAAATATGAGTTTAAGTCTTTTAAGACCAAAGTATAAGTATAATGTCAATAGGATGTAAGAATACACGTTGACAATGTAACATGGTAGTGTGATGAATCAACCGTTAGTAATCCGTGACGACTGATGGCCGGCAGTATGACAATTATAGTGTGATAGTTGCAATGTGGCAATATGGTGACTGTGCAATGACATTGTAACAACGACAATGTAAACCATCATTTTATTTTTAACTCTGATTTTGATATTTTTATAATTTTTTCTTAATTTACAATCATGAAAGAGGTATACCAAGAAATATAGCCCAAATTATACACCAAGATTTTGATAGTTCATACAGGTACAAAATGGTAGTGTAATAAGAAAAAAATGCATTAACATTTTGTATCAGCGTGAACTATCACATTGACACAAAACAAAGGTGGACACTGGTGGTAGGGATGTAAACAAATCAAATATTTTAAATTCGATTCGCGATTTGTATTCGAATATGATGATTCGAATTTGCGTTATTCAAATACAAATTCAAATTCAAATATTATTTTTGATTCGAATATTAATCAAATACAAATACAAATAGGGATATATTCGATTTGGATGATATTCGAATATTCGAATATATGTATATATACACAGACCATGTTTTCAACATCAAAAGTCAAGCAAAGTAATATAGTATAAAGTGTATTTAAAATACTAAGAATTCAATAAATTAACATAACACAAAAATCTAAAGCATATGATTTTTAATAGTTATATTTTATAAAATATAATTTGTGTAAGATGCAGATGTATTAATGTTTTTATATACCGAATATAGTATGTAGTATAAAGAGTATCGTAAGTTAAATTACAAATTGATGTTGGTCCATCATATAAATTACATAGTATGATTATTCAAATATTCGTTTATGATTCGATAACTATTCGAATATTAATCAAATACTTATTCAAATCTTATTTTGAATTCGTCTCATATTCGGATTCGTATTCGAAAAAATTAAACAAATACAAATTTAAAATATCGGTATTCGTTTCGATTCGGTTCGTTTACACCCCTAACTGGTGGTATACAATTTGGTCTACAAATTTTGGTTTATAAGTAGTTTAATTTTTAATTTTAAAGAAATCCCATGTAGTAAAAGTAAAAAGAAACAAATTGAATAGAACACGATTCCTCTGTGTTCTTTTTTACATGTATAGAAAAAAAGGACAATGCTATGTTCACAAATAGGATTAATCACAAATTCCACGAACTTACTATTTATGGGTTAAATTCTTATTTTAAAATTATTTAAGACTATTTAATTTTTTTTATAGAAGTTCACAAATAGTAAATTTATGATTGTATTTGTGAACTAATTTACCTTTTTTCTTCTTTGTTTGTCAAGCATATCTTATTTCTTTCTTTCCCTTGCATTTCCAGATCTAAGTTTTAGATCAAATAATAACGCATGTCGCGAGAAACCCAGGGCGAGGTCGACTGAACAAAATCGCCAAATCGGAAAACTGCCGGTAGAGAGACGCTGCCGCCGCCGCCGGACGCCGAGCCACCATCCTCCAGGTATTCCGTATATATAGCTTTCCAATTTTGCATTTTTTTTTTCATTTTTTCATTCTTTAGATTTAAAATATAGGGTTAATTATTAGTAATTTTTAATTTAAAATCTTTGCTAATTGCTAGGAAATAGAATGAATTAATGGTTCTATGTGTTCTTTGTTTGATCATGATGAATTGATTTGAATTTATGATATATTTATGATTTTATATATAAAAAACTGAAAATTAAAAAAATATTAAAAGCTGAAAAATTGACAAATTGATATGAATTTATGATATATAAAAAAAATTAAATCTGAAAAAAATTAGAAAAGTTGACGAATTGATATGAATTTAGGATATATTAATTTATTGTTTCTTCTAATAATATTGCGTTAATTATCATTTAAATATAATTTGTTTACATGTGTTAATTTGTTAGACCATAAGGATAAGATTTTTAGGATTTTTTTTCTAGTTTCGGCCCAGGCCCATGAATTCTCAGGACCGGACGCAACATCCCTTGGTCAACGAGCGCCGTCGTCCGATAAGGTTCCTCTGTCGCCAAGTTGGTGCCGCCCTCTACTTCCAAAGTTGTTGCCCGCTCTCTCAAATTGAAGAGCAAGACTGTTTTGGCATATGACCAAAATAAGAAAGAATTGACTGAAAAATGTGTGGTGGTGATGATAGCAGTGTGGCGGAGGGGGGAAGAAGTGATGTGGTAGTTGGTAGTGTGGCGATGGTGATGTTCGTGCCGTGATGGTGTTGATGATGATGGAGTATGGTGGGAGAGACTGGTAGTGTAGCGGCAAAGAGTGGCAGTGTAGCGGCAGAGAGTGACAATGTAGCAGCAGAGAGTGACAATGTAGTGGTGGATAGTGGCTGTGTAGCAATGAGGGGTGGCAGTGTGGCGGTGGGATGGCGAAGAGGGTGACAGTGCAGAAGTGGCGGCATTGTGGCAGTTTAGCACAATAAGAGTATTAAAAAAATTAGACCAATAAAAGCAAGAGTAACTTATTATTACTAAAAAATTGGACGTAATGAAAGTAAGAATAACTTATTATTGTTAAAAAAAGTCATATATGAGATATGGCTTAATTGTATGAAAAAAAAAGAAATCCTCACATGTCTTTATAATGGAAAATGAAAAAAATACACGAATTCACGGCAAAGTTAATAGAAGAACCAACTGTGCAACACTATCGTAACTTGAAGAACTATTTGTAAACTTTTTAAAGTTGAAGTACTAACCATGCATAATACATTGACTTGAAGCACTAACGGTGAAATTTAGGCTTTTTTTATCTTCGTATTTTGTGATAGCAATGACAGAGTATTAATATTCTGATGAGTTTCTGAACTATACTGTTTTTACTTTTTCTTTTCTTTTTTTCAAAACTTGATTTGTTTGAAAATGTGTCAAATGATGATATTTTAAAAACATATATACAAGGCTCTACAAATCCAGAAAATGCTGAGGAGAAGATTATCTTCACTTATACCAACAACAATACTTGCTGCCCAGAATCACCACCTCCAACACACGTCAAAGTTTATCCATTTCTTGCCTCTACATCTCGCCTCACAGCCGTTCCTGCAATGCTGGCCTGATATCACAAAGCCCGCCTGCGAAATTGGGGGTATACATGCCTACAGCAGCCTATTGGCGCTGAATGATCTGAGGGACAACCCGGGGGCCCGCAAGCAGAAGACCCGGAAGGGGCGTGGTATTGGTTCAGGAAAGGGGAAGACTGCAGGACGGGGTCATAAGGGTCAGAAAGCCCGTGGTACAATGAAGTTTGGATTTGAAGGTGGGCAAACACCACTTCGTCGCCGCCTCCCCAAACGGGGCTTTAAGAATCCATTCAGCCTCACATTTCAGGTAATTAAGCTCATCCATTTGCTCTAGTCTTTTTAGTTTCTTTGATATGTGATTATTTTACAATTGTGGAGGTGCTTTTGAAAAGTCCTTTAGTTGAATTTGTCATCTGTTCTTAGAGATTAACTCCAGTCAAGTGTTTCCCGTTGATAGAGTATGAATTGTTTGTCATGATGGGAACATTGCTGACTGAGTGACTGGCATACTCTTGTAATGTGGAATCAGAAATTTACACACGCAGTTTGATGTTCGGTGGCCGAAACCCCATATTTCTTGGATTATTTTATGATTGTGGCCATGTTGCTAGATAGCATGAATTTGCAACCTCACTCATACTTGGTATAACATTTGTTAATATTTGCTGCTTACAATATATGTTTCTGTTTTTTAAGCAAGCTAAGATTGTGAGAATTGATATTTCTGGAGCCGGGATTTGTGGTGCGGGGGGGGGGGGGGG